GAACTTGTCTTAAATACATCGTCGTCTTTTATTAAGTCCAAGATAAAAACAAACTTCTAATTTATTAGAATAAAAAACTTTGCATAATTGCGAAAAATTCACTGTGCCCAATATTTCTGTTTTCTATATTGATATGAACCGAAAATAACACTTAATAAGCTATATATATAGACATCTTAAAATATTTAAGTTAATTTGATGAATTAGATAAGTATATTTAATCGTTATTAGACTGTGGGTATCAAATAAATAAATAAATAAAATAATAAAAAAAAGGAATTTCATTAAGAAGTATTTTTGAGAAGATTGCGACTGAAACTGCTAAGATAACGACTTAAGTACCAAGGTGTTACAACGCACGCTGACGCCTAGTATGAGATATTAAGCTCTATCGTCAATTCCATGTGAATAAATTGTTTCCATAACGTGCAAAACAAAAACAAATTGGGAAAAATTGTTTTTATTTTGCTTTATAAATTTTGGGAATATTTGTTCATGTGAAATTCGCGATTTCCATGAAAACTTCAAAAGTGGATTTGGTTTTGTATAAAATTAAGTAAACTAGTTCTTGTGTTGCATTCTGGTGGTAAGTTAATATCTGGCGTTAATATTTCACTGCTATTTTCGTCATGTATGTTTATCAAAACGTTATGCAAAATGCAGCAAACCATAATCCAGTCGTTGCATTCCGCCTTATTTTTATTATTCAGCATTCTAAATTTAAGTTCCTTTAGACTGCTGAATTTTTCCTTCAAAATACCGAAGCAATTTTCAATACGGACCCGATATTTGGAAAAGTGTTTGTTGTAAAGATCTCTATCCTCCTTGGTATGTTCGATGCTATTTTGCCTAAAAGGTGTTAACAAAAAAGGTTTAACTGGGTAAGCGCTGTCTCCAGCGAGCCACTGAGGTGGTGACAAGAAGCGTTCCGGATGTTTTGCTAGTGGAGAGCTATGAAAAATGTTTGCGTCATGGACACTGCCCGGGTAACCTATTGTTATTTGTCTTATCCGCAATTTGTAATCGCACACTGCTTGTACCTTAAGGGCGTATTGCCGTTTGCGTGAAAAGAACAGTTCATGATTCGTTACTGGCGCTTCAGATAATTTAATTTCCGAGCCATCGATGTATCCTACACATCCCGGAATTTCTTCCCTAGTTTCTGACACAATTCCCCATCTTTCCCTTGCATTAGGCCAGAATAAAAATCTTTTCTTTATATTTAATATAGCTTTAAAAACACGTTTTGTCACTTTTTGAATGGTGCCTCCATCCCCCACACTGAAGAGCGTAGCTGCTTTTCGAATGGAAACTCCATCGCCAAAAGATCCTAATCGATAAAGTACAATTTTGAGCTGCAACCCGATCGGAAGCTGTGATGAGCTGGAACTTGTCTTAAATACATCGTCGTCTTTTATTAAGTCCAAGATAAAAACAAACTTCTAATTTATTAGAATAAAAAACTTTGCATAATTGCGAAAAATTCACTGTGCCCAATATTTCTGTTTTCTATATTGATATGAACCGAAAATAACACTTAATAAGCTATATATATAGACATCTTAAAATATTTAAGTTAATTTGATGAATTAGATAAGTATATTTAATCGTTATTAGACTGTGGGTATCAAATAAATAAATAAATAAAATAATAAAAAAAAGGAATTTCATTAAGAAGTATTTTTGAGAAGATTGCGACTGAAACTGCTAAGATAACGACTTAAGTACCAAGGTGTTACAACGCACGCTGACGCCTAGTATGAGAT